CACCCAGCGCCGCGAATCCTGTGCAAAAAATACCACAAAGAGCACACTCGCGCGTTCATGTCAGAAATCCTACCGAACACTCAGTGTGTTTGCAAGCATTTCAACATAAAAACATCAAAAACCCAATGCCTTTTTCACAAAAATGCTTTGGGGTGTCCTGTCAGACCGTCGGGCTTCCTCCGGCCACCTCTGGCTTCCCGCGGTGTACCGGGCCATTCTCGACTCGTCTGGCAATGCGTGCGCGGCATTCAACACGCGCTCGCCAGTTCCCGTCGGCAACCGCCATCGCGGCCGCATCAGCTGTACCAAACCGGCTGGCCCGGTGTGACTTCGGCCCCCAGTTGTGCCAGCTTTGCTTCTTATGTTGTGGGAGGGCGGGTGGGACTGGGCATGCCATGCTTGACTCGCTCGAGCTGGCTAGCTTGACTCTTACTCTTACTCTTACTCTTACTCTTACTCTTACTCTTACTCTTACTCTTACTCTTACTACTACTACTACTACTACTACTACTACTACTACTACTACTACTACTACTACTCCTACTACTACTACTACTACTACTACTACTACTACTATGAATACTCGTATTACGACTACGACTAATACGACTACTACGACTACTACGACTACTACGACTACTACTACTACTACTACTACTACTACTACTACTACCCGGGCAACGGCTACAACTACTGTTACTAAAACTACCGCGGCGACGACGGCGACGACTACTACTACTACTACTACTACCACTACTACTACTACTACTACTACTACTACTACTACTGCTACTAACACTGCTACTACTACTACCATAATTACGACGACTAAGCCTGCAACTACAGCTACGCGTACTTCTACCACTTGTACTACATCTACTACTACTACTACTACTACTACTACTACTACTACCACTGCGACGACGACTACTTCTACTACTACTACTACTACTACTACTACTACTACTACGACTACTACTACTACTACTACTACTACTACTACTACTACGGCTACTCCTACGATCACGATCACTACTACTACGCCGACGACTACTAAGACGAGAACGACGACTACGACTACGAATAATACGACGCGTGCGATGACGACTGCGACTACGACTGGTGCAACGACTACTAATACTAGTACTAAAACTACTACGACTACTACTACTACTACTACTACTACTACTCCTACTACTACTACTACTACTACTACTACTACTACTACGACGGCGACTACGGCTAAGACTACGACTACGACTACGACAACGACTACTACTACTACTACTACTGCTACTACTACTACTACTACTACTACTACTACTACTACTACTACTACTCGCACTACTACTACTACTACTACTACTACTACTACTACTATTACGACGACGACGACGATGACGACGACGACGACGACTACTACTACTACTATACTACTACTACTACTACTACTGCCTACTACTACTACTACTACTACTACTGCTACTACTACTACTACTACTACTAATACTTCTACTACTACTACTACTACTACTACTACTACTCGCACTACTACTACTACTACTACTACTACTACTACTACTACTACGGCTACTACGACTACGACGACTACTACTACTACTACTACTACTTTGACGTACTACTACCAATACGACGAGAACTACTACTACGGCTACTACGACTACTACGACTATTACTACTACTACTACTACTACTACTACTACTACTACTACTACTACTACTACGGCTACTGCGACTACTACTGCTACTACTGCTACTACTACTACTACTACTACTACTACTACTACTACTACGGCTGCTACTACTACGACAACAACTATCACTACTACCAGTGCGACTACGACTACGAAGGTTACTACTCCTTCCACTACGACTATAACTACTACTACTACTACCACTACTACGACTACTGCTACTACTACGACTACTACTACTACTACTACTGCAAACACTACTGCTGCTAATACAACGACTACTACTACGACCATGGCTACGACTACTACTACGACTGTTCGGCGACTCCTGCTACTACTGTTACTTCTGCTGCGACTGCTACTACAGCTACCACTACTACTACTACTACTACTACTACTACTACTACTACTACTGCTACTACTTCTTCTACGACTACTGCTACTACTCATACTACGCCTCGAACTAGTACGGCTATGACTGCCACTACGACTACCAAGGCGACGCCAACGACGCCTACTACGACTACGGCAACGCCTGCCACGACTCCTGCTACTCCGACCACGAAAACTACTCCATCTACGGCAGCTACTACTACTACTGGCACCACTAGGGTACGCCAACTACTACTACGACGGCGACTACTACCACTATTACTGCGACTATGACAAGTATGACGGCTACTACTACTACGATTACTACTACTACTACTACTACTACTACTACTACTACTACTACTACTACGACTACTACTACTACCACTACTATTACTACTACTACTACTACT